ATTGCCCTCATTCCCCACACTGACACTGAACAACAGCACTTTCTTTGGAGTGCTAAATGTAAGCATTTCCAGATGGCCTTTAGAAGGTTCCCCAGCAGCTGGCCTGATACTTTGTACACCTTTCTTTTACTCTGTGCCTAAGTTATAGAACACTTTTGTATTAGAGCTTCCAAAATATGGATTAAAATTACAGGGTGGGGAGAAAACAGAGCAAGCAATCCTGCCCATGGCAAGACATAGACCAGCGCTTATTGATAAGCACACAACCGTTGTGCCAGGAACACACTGGGCAAGAATAGGCTTCTACATCTCCTGCATTGTGTGGGGAACCTCCCATCACTACAGGAAGGCTGAAACAGAGAACCACATGGTGAAGCCAGAACCAGGTGCTCCATCTTTCACTTGTGGTGCATCTCCACACCTCAGAAGAACACAAACCAGCAGTGTGCCCAGGTGGCCAAGAAGGCCAATGGCATCCTGGCTTGTATCAGGAATAGTGTGGCCAGCAGGAGTAGGGAGGGGATCACCCCCTGTACTCGGCACTGGTGAGGCTGCACCTGGAGTACTGTGCTCAGTTTTGGGCCCCTCACTACAAGAAGGACATTGAGGTGCTGGAACATGTCCAGAGAAGGGCAACACGGCTGGTGAGTGGTCTAGAGAGCAAGTCTTATGAGGAGCAGCTGAGGGAGCTGGGGCTCCTTAGTCTGAAGAAGAGGAGGCTGAGGGGGGACCTTATTGCTCTCTACAGCTACCTGAAAGGAGGTTGTAGTGAGGCAGGTGTTGGTCTCTTCTCCCAGGCAGCTAGTGATAGGACAAAAGCTAATGGCCTCAAGTTGTGCCAGGGGAGGTTTAGGTTGAGCATTTGGAAAAATTTCTTTACTGAAAGGGTTGTGAAGCATTGGAACAGGCTGCCCAGGGAGGTGGTTGAGTCCTCATCCCTGGAGGTGTTCAAAACCACATGCAGGAAGGGCACTTCAGGACATGGTTTAGCAGGCATGGTGGTGATGGGTCGATGGTTGGACTTGATGATCTTGGAGGCCTTTTCCAACCTTACAGATTCTATGATCCCATTCTGCGATTCTTTCCAGGCAGAGGCGCCCTGCTGGGCCCCTCCCACGAGGGACACACTGCGCGGAGTGGTTCAAAACCACATGCAGGAAGGGCACTTCAGGACATGGTTTAGCAGGCATGGTGGTGATGGGTCGATGGTTGGACTTGATGATCTTGGAGGCCTTTTCCAACCTTACAGATTCTATGATCCCATTCTGCGATTCTTTCCAGGCAGAGGCGCCCTGCTGGGCCCCTCCCACGAGGGACACACTGCGCGTAGCGCACCCAGAGACCAGAAACACAATCCAGGACCACTCTGTGCCGCTTGGTAAGGCAGAACAGGAGCAGTTACCTTCTCTGCCGCTCCTTGCTTCCTACCCGGCGATTTCAACCCAGCTCTTCTGTTCCTCAAAGCTACCCCGCTGTGAAAAGTCGCTTCCAGCGCGCCGCCGCCCGCTGCCCCCCTCCAGCCGCCCGGACCTG